CCAAGACAGGTGACAAGGCAAACACATCATTCGTTGTTGGGAAGCCGGTTTTCGTTCGTTAGCATTTAACGTTAGCAATCTCCTCTTGAGTTCAGTGCAAGCATTTTCTCTGTCAGTCAATAGATTTAAACAAAGCGATCGATGATGATCACGTTGACTTCGAGGTGGAGCTGCAGACTACGCGTCACCAGCCGCAGATTAGGCTGAGCTGGGCGAGCGTAACCCCATGAAGATACAATGCGATAGGATGAGGGTGGGTGGAATGAGGTGCAGTCCAGAAAATGGATGGAAAAAATGGATTACGATGACGGTATGATATCAAATACATTGCCATTGCAACTTCTTCCACGTCCGTCCATAGGTACATAGGTTGTGCTACATACCAGAAGTGAGTTTCGGCGCCTTATCACGCTATTGATAAGGCGATTCTAACGTGTCAGCTGTCGGCCAAAAAGATCAGGAAACCGGTCCTGGTCGAAATAGCGCTCTATGACTGGCGTTCTGTGCGATAAGAACATACCAGAACGTCTCAAATCTAAGATCTATAGAACCGTCATCCGGCCGGTCGCGATTTACGGTGCTGAGTGCTGGCCTGCGACTCAGAGAGGTCTGAAGCACTCTCAGTGTGATAGAGACTAAGGTGCTGCGTTGCACAGCTGCAATATTTCATAAGAGAACGATTTGGTCTACCTATGATTGTCGAGAAGATGCGCGAAGTCCATCTTCGATGATACGGTCGTGCTCCTGACAGACGAAGACAAAGATGACAGCGTCCGTAAAATCAACTTCAGCCTTAAAGGCAAAAGTCGGGCTCAATAAGGGGGTATTATGGCGATTGAAACTGAGTATAGAGATGCGAAGTGGAACGACAGTGGAGAAAAAACTGAGAAAAACCGTCGACAAGGCCGTTAACAAAACCCTCTTTCCCACTAGCAGTGAAGGAGGCTGGCTTGGGAAAGAGGCACGTACAAACAAGTTTTCTGGAGATATCAGTCGTTCTATCGGTTGATACGGCAATCAACCTAGCTGATTTCACACGTTACACGTTTTTCAAGGTGGGAAGTTGCTGCAATGTGTGCAGCTACCCACATACAACCTCCAGGCACGGGAATTACTTCTCTAGCGTGGCTGAGCCCGACCTTTGCCTTTAAAGGCAAGTTTCGGCTCAGACCCACTTAATAAGCCCTTGTAGTGGCTAGAAGTGCGTGGGACGCAACTGCAGAAGGCGCGCCACGTTCCCGCATCGAAATGCGTCACTAAGACGCTAGGGCTTTGACACGCTCCACCTGTTGCGACACGCTCCGCCCACCGCTCGATATCTTGTCTGCGTCGCAATGTTGATCTGCTATGCTCTCTCTACTCGGACTTCTCTACCGCTCTCCGCGCTCACATTATCTCTCATCTCCCTGCCGGCCTTTTGAACTTCTCCGCAGCGTAGAGCAAAAGGCTCGTATTTCCTGTGTATTTCACGATTTTTTTCCTTTTTTCTCCACTGGCGGTCCACCTCCCACCCCTACTTCACATTTGAGTGGAATTACCTCATCAGTTTAATCCTGAATCTTGCCTTTAACTCCGGAAAGCTGCCTAAGGGACCCGAGATAG